ACTGAATAATCCTTTTATACACTAAGAAAATTTATTGAGCAATGCCCTATAACAGCAGGCTTAAACTGGTACATGGACAAATACCACATCTTGGTACTTGAAACACTATTGTTATGTCATAATAATTTTAGAACTCAATGTACACAAGCTGTTTATTTGGTTTTCCTATGAGCAATTCTGTGGCTCTGGTATATGGCCTGGAATATGATTTGAGTCAGGTAGAAGAGAATAAGTTTGTCTCCCAAAGAAACCTTGGCTGTTTTTGCCTTGGGCTATAAATTCAGCAAAGTCTAAATAGAGTTCAGCAGGGTCAGTATGTGTTTTCCATGGGAGAATGAGCCGGGGGTGGGGGCGGCAGGGTGATGTGGCCACTGAAAATGCTAACTGCTACTCAGTCAACTCCCCTGCTGTAGCCAAGGGCATAGCCATGTAATCTGGATTCTAAATCAGCGTTCCTAGCCTGAGAATCTGAAATACCACAAAATTCCAAACCTTCTGAACACCAACATGATGCTACAAGTAGAAAATTCCATACCATGAAACTCTTTGATGCACAAAATTATCTAAAATTCTGCTGTATAAAATTATCCTCAGGGTGTGCATATAAGATGACCATGAAACAAACAAAAAAAATCTCATTTAAACTTCAGCTGTAGCCCCAAGGTATCTCATTATGTATGTGAAAAAGATTCCAAAAACAAAATAATCCAAAATTTGACACCCTTACTGGCCCTGAGGATTTCAGATAAGGAATACTCAAGTGTATCAGAGCATGAGAAATCAGTGCAGGTCTCACTCTGTCTCTGTCACTCTCCCTTTTTTCCTGGATCAGATCAGTTTTGTGTTTTTGTTGATTCTTAGCCTCCACCTTCGTTACTTAATATGCCCTACAGTTCTGAGCTTCCAAATATCCTTTTGATAAATTATTTTTCTGCTTGACTTAGTTACAGGAAAGAACCTGAAGTTAAATGCTCTAACAATGTTCCTTACTCTAGAGGGAGAAAGTAAAATTGAAGGCAGATTCTACAAGCTTGTGAAAGTGAATCTGACTTCCAAATCCACAATACTTGTATCACATAATATAATCTAATTTGGAGCAGGATACTAGAGCTCTTGTACATATAGTGTTCATCTGCAATAGACAATTTTTAATTCATGAAAACAACTGTAGTTGATTTATGAGAATTTAGTGTTTATTTTATGGCATATTGTTTCAGAAAAGACTTTTTGAATGCTTTCTAGGACCATAGGACTATGCTTTGGTTGTATATTTTTTTAAATCAAGCCAGTGATATACTTACACAATTTGTAGAAATTTAATGGTAACTTTCACTCGACTAATACAGCACAGTAAAAACCAACTATTAAGCAAAATGTGACCTAGAAACCATTGGTTTCCAACCTAGAGTCTGTTGATGGTTCTCACATGCTATCCAAATGTAGCTCAGAAGGCTGGGTGCAGTGAGCTGGGCTCCTTCCTCAGCCGCATCACCACACACTCCTTTGCGGTACCGGCCGGGCCTCCAGCACGCTAAGCAAGCACTAGATCGTTGAGCTACATCCCCAGGTCACCATATCCTTTTTAAAAAATATATATTTTATATTCCATTTTTAAATCTTTTTCACATAGTGGGTGTCCTCTTAGAACTATATTTGATGTAAAAAGTTCTTTTTTTACAAAACAAATGCACTGCCTTACAAGCCAGAGGAACAGAGTGTAATGGAGTTAATCAGTGTGGGTTAAATCCAGGGACTTCTTCTGGAGGTATAAGCATTTGATGTGAGTCTTGGACAATGGCTGACTGAAGGGAATGACATTGAGACAATGTTTGTAGTGACTGACAGTGCCTAGTTTTAGTGAGCTCCTCACAAAGTTTACAACAAAAGGGATCTTCTGGCTTAGCCATTTGGATTTTTCCTTTTTTGTTAAGGGAAAAAGCCAAAAAATTCTTCTTTATCTAAAACTCAAATTTGAATCTATCTTCAAACCTGTATTAGACATCTTTGTGACAAAACATGCAAGATAAACAATTTAAAAGGGAAAAATATTTACATCAACTTACTGTTTCAGAGGTTTCCACCCATGGTTGCTCGTCTCCATTTTGGACCTATGGGTGACCCATACACCGTGGCACAAGTGCATGGTGGAGGAGGTCTGTTCACTTCCTGGTGTCCAGGGTCTCAGTAGCCCCTTTAAAGGTGTATCCCCTAACTTCCTTCTGCAAGGGCCCACCTCTTAAAGGTACCACCACCTTCCAACAGGTCCGCAGGCTGACAGCCAAGCCTCCAACACATGTCTTTTAAGAGACAGATCAACTCTAAATTCTGTAGCTGTATGCAAAGAACTTAGAATTTGTTCACTGTTTTAAGCCTCAACACTTCATCATTCCTACATTACCCTATAATTTTAAATAATTCTTTTGCCACTGTCTGAAAATAGCATGTTTCATTCATGCTGAAGATCAGTGAATAGTAGGCACTCAATAAGTGATTATATTGTTATTCTACCATGCTTGAAGAGTCTTAGATGTAGGATATTATCTTGGCATGCATTATCACTATTACTAATTTAGCATGGTTGAAAGGTGAGTATTGTCATCTACTGGCTTTGTTGCAGGATGGTTGTTGGCTCCTTTTCACTTCTTGCACAAATAAGGGAAAGAAAAAGGCCATGAGATGCAAAATATTTCAAGTTTTAGAGTGAAAAATCTAAAATCTATGGCAGAAATGAGTTTTAAGTGAACTTTAATTTGTTCTCACTCTACTATTTCAAATTATTGTGTAAAAGTGACTTAGCTGCCATTTTTGGATTTTAGTTTCTATTTGTCTTAAATGTCTCTGAACAAATGAGTTTCAGCAACAAGGAAAACCTTCACTAGATACCGGCAGCTTCCTTGTGGCCAGAGTTTTCCCTAGATAGAATTAAGAACTATCTCCCTCCTTGGCAGTTGCCAGTTTATATACAAACTCTCAGGTAAAGTCCTGTATTAGCACAATCAGGAAATGATGTTTGTGGATGTTTGCAATGAACTTTATAGAAACGGCTGGTAAAGTCTTCATTCACATTGCATCCTCTCAAAAGGGACAGTTGAAATGGCTTTGGGTAGAACTGTGTATAGCATTAATGGGTTGGCCTGTACGTAGCATTAGTGAAATGAACAGTGAAGCTTTAAACCCAAACATTCTCCTGAGTTCTTTCATTGCAAAAAGGTTGGGAAACTAGGTAGGGATAGAAGATGGCAAAGATAGTGCATTTTAAATTATTTCTAGATATCAAAAGACTGTCTTCCATTTAAACTCTGGAGGAGAAAAAAAAAGAGAAGACCTAAAATTACATAGAAAGAAAATGTTGTAAGTTACCTGAGGCTATATATTCATTAATATTGATTGATTCTTATTCTTAGGCATCTGAAAGAAAATCATGAATTAATCTTTGATTTAGAGAGTCTTGTTTTGTTTCAGGGGTCATATGCTGGTCTTGCATGAAATAAAGAGGTAAATCAGTAACATAAGCTTTAAAAATGTTTTCAATAAGTAATTTTAGGAAGGAAGGTGAAAATGAGCCAGGCACATATAATTACTGATTAGTAAAATTTTAAAAATATTTCACTGAGAAATTTGAACTCTGGCCAAAATCAATCCCTTCCCCCGCCTTCACAGTTAGTGGCATGTATGCGTGACAAAATTCATACCCCTACCTAACAAACCAATACACAACCCTCTTAAAATATAATTAAGGTCAATTTTTTAAATGAAAATGTATACTTCAACTAATTCTTACATGTTTATGAATTTTCTCATCATTAGTGTATTTTTATTTATTGACTATATATGCTGATCTTAAAAATTAAGATTAAACCTCTTAAATAGTATAGAAAAGAAGGAAGAAATCAGAAATGTCTGGAAAATCTTCAGATTTAGTGTTTAGCTGTCACTTTAACAATGCGAGATTTAAAATTATAAAATAAGAATCATTAGTGTGCTGCATATACTCTGAAAATCATAGCATTTGAGGTCAGACGTTTCCACATGTATTAATCTTTTACTAATACAGGAGATTAGAATTAATGAGATGTGAAGTAGATATGGTGATGTTTCTGAATTGGAGTAGCAAACTAAAAATTGGAAAGTGTGTCTAAGCAGAACAGTTGTGAATGTGAAAGTCTGATGTGGGGAAAGAAACCGAAAGGTTGAAGGAATAAATCTGGGCAAGTCTTCTTGGCACTAAGAGACTTAATTATCTCCTGTGTACAAAGCAGTGAGAAAATAGCTACTTGATGTTTGCTACAAGAATTCTGAATGGTCCAAATACAGTAGACTCTGTTGCCCTATGTGTAGCTCATGCTATTAGAGCCAACTTCGGGCTTTGGTCATCAGGAAATTCAGTCTGGTGGCAGAATTCCACTTTAGAATGAATCACTGGCATTTTTTCATCCTATTACTTATTTTGGGGAAATTATTTCCACCTAATTTAGAGTATTTCTCTTTTAAATACTGTATGCAAACAGTGGGAATGATACATAGATTTTTTAAAAATTATTTTTACATTGTTGGTGGAGGAAAGATCTAGCAATTCTTTTGGAAAGGCTGCATGGATCCAAGATCTATGGAGATCATTTCCACTTGTAACAATTGGCTACTTGAATGATCTTTTCAGAGTTTTATTTTCACAGTATGGTTTTAAAAAAATAGAATACTCCTTCCAACTCTTTTCCAGAATATGAATTACAGTCTACTCCTTCTCAAGAAATCTCATTTCTTCCCTCATGCATTTGTTAAGAAGATGTACAATAAGAATAGGATCACAAGTTTTGAAAGGAGTTCTTTGGTTCAAAATTTTTATTTTTTTATTGTATAATTTATTGATTGGATTGGTAGCAATTTGTCCTTTAAGAGATAATTTTTAAAAAGAGCTCATGACTAGGTCGGGGATTATCTCAGCGGTTTCACTGCCTGCTGCGCAAGCTCAAGGACCCGAGTTCAATCCCCGGTACCAAAAAAAAAAAAAAAAAAGCTTATGACAATACTTTAAAAAAGCTCATGACAATACTTTAATGATTTTGACCATGAAGAAGAGTTACAATTATTTAGCCGGACAGACTTCCTTGTCCTCCTGAGATGAGACCATGTTGTCGATCCTGGTGCAAGAGAAGTTTTAAAACAGTGATTATTTCAACAAAAATTTGATCTACCTTGTTTTCACCAGTTGGTGACAGGTTTCCATGGAAATGGGAATAAGCATTCCTAGTTTTAGCTTCTCAGCTGCCCCATGCCAGCTGAAAGCTGTAAATGCCATTTGGTTAACAGCGAGGATCCAGAATTCTTCCATTTTAAAGTGGCGGAGGGAGAGGAAAAGAAAATGTTTGCCAAGTCATTTCACCTTTCTCCCTTGAAAGGAACACTGTTTTATGATTGAACTATCGACAGACGATTATTAGACATAGACCGAGTCTCACAGCCTCTTTCCTTGCTAATCAATCTAAAGTTGATTTTCTGCAGCACAGAGTTTCTTTCTTACCTCATTGCAATTTAACAAGCCTTTGTGGGTCTTCCTGGGTCTCCACTGTCTGACCCCCTGGGTGGGCACTGAACAAGGAAAATGGTCAGAATGTTGGCTGGAAACAATTCTGTGATCTTCAAGATGTGTGACCTAAAGGGAAAAATAATCTGTTGATAAAAGAAGTGTAGCAGGGGGAAATCTGGAAAAATTCTCACTTCTGTAAAGATATTAGTTAATTCGCCATAAGGATTTTCCATTTCTGAGATTATCATTTATAACTAATACATTTTCTGGAACTTTTCCATAGAAAGGAGAATGAAGAAAGCTATAAATGCTTTAACATAAAAAGTGAAGCATCAACACAATTGGGAAGGTTTATTTTGCCTTGTTTTATGAATGAATATTTGAATCAATGTGAATACCAAAGGAAACTTTAGTAGCATTAGCACATAATGTTTTCTGTTATATTTGATATTGTTTAGATATTAGATTGAGAAGGAATGTGCCTCCATTTCCTAAATATCACCCAGTGCAGTTCTGTGAACCCACGTCTCCTCTTTAGAGGTGAAAAGGAGTTTCTCTCTGCCCCCAAATTGACTTTTAGTGAAGAAAACCAAACACAATGGCTTCTACCCATGGACTGCCTCCATGTCTCTTAAGTGTGGCCTCACACCCAGCCAAAGCAAGTAGTGTGTCAGCTGGGGGAATAAGATCCAAATTGCTAGACTTAAGAAACTACAGAAGGGACTGCAATTTCAAGGGAAATCTTGATGAGGCTAAGAGTGCAACTCAGGGCCTGACATTTTCTATTACCACATTGTATTCATGGGGGAATATCACTTTGAAAATCGTTTTTGCGTAAACAACTTGTGCTTTCTAGCAACTTGAGAAACAAGCATTTAGGATGCTGAAAGAGACTTGCACAGAGTGTACTCCAGAGATCAAGATAGCAAGCCAGTTCTGGTCATGATAGTCAGGCAATCTTTGTTACCATTTCTGCTTCTCAAGACAAAGCCATATAGTGCTTATTTTCACACTTGAACCACAGCCTACCTGATTTGCGAGGCAATAGTGGGAAGATTCATTACTGCAATAAATAGGTATCGAGGGAAGAAAACATTAGAAATGAATTCACTTAAATTGAGGCCAGGGTCTTGTTGTGAGTACAGCAAATGGAGCTTTATTTTAAACAATAAAAGTAAAATTATGAAAGTGCATGTAGCATTCAGCTATAGTCACTCCTACATCAAACAAAAATTAATCAAATTTGAATTTTAGTAGGACCATAAACAGATTCAGTCTGTAGAAATCTTTACAGGTTGCACTAACAACTGTTTGGAATCATTTTATTGACAAATCACTCTCATTTAAAGGCACTTCACTATCCTTATTGATTTTTGTCTTCTATTTTACTGATCACACACTTCTGAACGCTCTTCAGCTTGGCTCCCAGTGTGACTAAAGATGTTCTCAAATATTATTTTCATTCATGGCATAAAATCCCATTTCTTTTGAAGATTCATTAAGCTATTGATTTGCTTGCTTTGCTTTGTATTATTTGTTTGCCTTTTGTTTATGAAAGACATAAAGTCATGTATATGTTTATATAATAGTCACATATTTTGACTCTCATTCTTTATAAAGACGCATATCTCCTAAGCTGTTTTGACAGTTTGCTCATGATCTGAAAATAGTTTCCAACAGAATGAAGTCATGCATTTATAATATCGTATTTCTCCATCAGCCAATCATTAACAGATTTTGAGCAAAAGAAGTATTTTTTATCTAAATATTTTAGCAAAAGCAAATGGAAACACACATATTAAGTGAATATAAACATGTGAATTATTTTTGTCTTATTCAGAATTTCTTAGCCAGTAAAATTCATTGAAACCACATCATATAATGATAATTCTTTTTAAATTTTGAATGCTTAATGACTTATACATTCTTCAAGGCATTCTTGGTACTTGATAAATATTTGCTGAATGAATTGATTCAGAAAAGAAAATTAATTATGAGTCGAGTCATGGGTATAGCCTCATGAAATCTGGTTGAGATGTCCATTATAATGATGTTTATAAAACTGGAACTTACCTATATACAAGAGTACCAGTAAAGTTAAGATATTGTCTATTTAGGGTACATGCTAGCATCCCGATGTCTTATTTTGCTACTATAGAAATATTTATGTGGAGTAGTTTTCAGTATACATTTGAGGAAGAGAAGTGTACTGTATTTGGAAAGAAATAGACCATAAAAAATCAAAATTATATTTTTATACAGGTCATTATTTCTTTCATTATTTTTATAGGTCTTTTTCTAGTTTCCTAGCATATACATTCAGTATATACTTCATATTTAATGCTTCACTGAGTTCTAATTATGAAATTTTCTTTTAATTATGATAATGTGAAATTATAAGAAAATCAGCTCAGGTGTAAGAAGGAGGAAGTGGTTTGGATTGCATATCAAGCATTTTTACAGGGACTAACCCCAAATCAGAATGATTGAAGCAGAAATTCTTATAACACTTTGCACACAAACTTTGATTGGTGTGTACTAAAATACCTGGTAATTATTTGAATGTGTCTTACAAAACCCCTGTCACTGGTCTCAGGTTCAATTATAGTAGTTGGTCCAGCCCATAGAATGTTTTGGCCTCCAGAGGTTCTTCTGCTATCCTTCTGTGATAGAAACATAACATGCCAGTAGAACAATATCTGCTTTATTTCCTCAAAAAGAATGATTATCATTCTTGAACTATTCTGTGCTTCTCTGCTGTCCTATTTCCTCCCCAGAGTCAGCCATGTGGTTGGGTATGAGAGTTACTTTGCCTTAGAAGATGCACATTTGTAAGAATACTGCTTCTCACAATACCCTGTGAATATAGCTTCCTGGGCCATGCAAGGAAGGCCACACTTCATCTCCAGCATCTACTCTCAGATGCTTGAAGCTAATACTTCTCATCATGGATTTATAGACCTGGCCACAGATCTCCTAGTTCATGGTAATCTACCAACTAGGATTCATTTTCTCTGTGCTATCTTGTTTGGTAGCTGATAGCCCACATTTACCAGATATCAAGGAGATCGGAGCTAGAAAGTATAACTAGCATAACTTTTCCATAGATAAGGAGAAAAGGTTTTGTTAACCCTGTACTTAGAATCTTCCCTATGAGATTGTGAACACTACAACCTTAGATTATTCAATTTTGCATGTTCCGAATTTCAAAAGCACTTAGGACATGACATGTGAATGATTTGAGCTTGATAAAGGAAGGAAGAAGAAAGGGAAGGAAGTGGAAAATAACGTTAACTAAAATAATTTTTCTCAAGTACTTTGGTTATTTTTATCACATAAAAACATTATTCCTAACAGAGTTCATAACTTACTTAAAAAGAGTTCTATTTTTATTTTCATGGATTGGAGTAAGTACTTATCTCAGTACAACAGAGAGATGTCTAGTGGGAATCACATTAGACCTTCTCCAGTCCCACAAAAGAGTTTATTTGTACAGATCTAACAGATAGACATTTGTGAAGTTTGTGTGCATCTGTATGTGTGTATGTAGTAGTAGTGCTAAGGATTGAACTAAGGGCCTTCACACTGAGATACATCCTCAGCCTGTTTTATTGTTTGTTTGTTTGTTTGTTTGTTTGTTTGTTTGAGGCAGGGTTGTGTTAAGTTGCTACTTTGCTTCCATTGGGCTGGAATCTGCCATCTTTCTGCATCAGACTCCCAGAGTCCTGGGATTACAGACGTGTGCCACCACACCCACCTAACATTTCTGAACTTCTGAGAACAGATTTAAAATGAATTAGGAGGAATGAGTGATTTCTATCTATTCATAGTCAAGGGGTAAAGGAGACAATTTCATAGACCTCCATTTGTGGTAGAAAATGAGATTAAGCTGTTTCAGGTTCTAACTTCATATAGTAAAAATTATCAAATCTACATTTAAGAAGACTAACCAGGACCCTCTGATAAGAGGTTAAAGAACATGAAGAGCAGTCATTTGAGCTCCTGCTAGACCCAAAGGAGAAGGAATAACATCATGGATGCATTAGAGGACACAGACAAGCATAGGCAATATCATTTCATAGAAATATTCAAATATCACAAAGAAAAATCATCATTGAAAGCCAAACAGGAGCCAAAAAGCATGACAGATATAAATGTATATTAACCACCAGAAGGCCAAGAAAATAAGCCCTGCTTCATTTTCAATGTTAGTATACTATATCAGCAGAGATATCCAGTACCCCGTTTCTTTGTTGTTGATCCCTAAGATAAGAGTAGTGTAGTAATTACTTTTTCATCCCTGGGACAACACACCTGACATATACACCCTAAAAGAGAAAAGGTTTACTGTGGCTCACAGTTTGAGAGGTTTTAGTCCATGGTCTGCTGGTTTTATTGCTGTGGGCCCGACATGAGTCAGGCTATACTGCAGAAGGATATTTTGCTGGTGAATAACTGCTCACCTCATGGCAGCCTGGAAGCAGAGAGAGCAAGAGTAAGAAAACAGATATACCCTTCAAAGTCACACCCCTAGTAACCAACTTTCTTCAGTTAGGCCCTACCTATTGATAACCCATTCAGCTATGAACTCTTCAAAGAGATTAATCCACTTGATGAGATTAGCACCATCAAAATTCAATCCCTTTTTTAAGTGTCTCTTAATTCAATCAAATTGGCAATCTAGATTAACCATCATAGGTTGGCAAAAAGGTCAATGAGGATGTTGTTACCTGTGATGGTCAAGAGTATAAATGACTACGTGTGTGCCTGTATTGAGTTTTCCTTGTACTTCACCATTCCATGCAGCATTATATTGAAGAAAGCAACAGAAGTGCAATAAACACCTAACTTCTTTGTTGTTTTAGGCATGAACATGAGTAAGCTATTTTTGTAGGCTGAAGTGGATAGAAAGAAGTGAAAAAATATCAAAGAATTAGGCGGGGAGGATAAAGCACAGAAAATGAAAGAGGGAAGAAAACACTGCAGTACACTGGTCACCTGAGTTTTATTTATTTTGATTTTTTATTGTCAATATTATTTTTCTCTGAAATACCCTTAAATTCCAACCAATCCCACCAGTTATTGACACCTACAGTGATTATTTTAATACTTTTGAAAATAATTATCCATTTGCAGAAAGTTGCAAAATAGCATAGAGATCCTCCATATCCCTTTCCTAGTCATCATGAATGGTAACTTAAGTGATCTGTGTCAAAACCAAGAAATTGATAATTATGCAATCTATAGAATTTACTCATATTTTACCAGTTTTTACATGTACTCACGTGTGTATCTGACATTATTTTTGACCCACTGTAAGAAATAATTAATTTTGCTTCTTTAAAAAAAACTTACTAGTCATTTACATTTGATATATCTAATACCACTTATCAGTGGTGTCAAGGAGAGTTGTGTAGTAGTGACCTATTATTACTTAATACTATAAAATACACTTTTCACTTTCTTTCTTTGCCTACAGTATGATATCTGTCAGACATTGGAGCAGTCAAAATTTTTTATTAATGTCTTAAAATGTTGTGTATAATTCCTGACAGCCAGAGGAGGATTCATAATATCTATTGCTATGTATAAAATCTTTCATAATTTGAAAGATTATGCTTAATATTCTTTCAGTGTTAGGCTATCGATGGTCTCTTAATATAATCTTGTGTTACTCTATATGTTTATTTATTTGTTATTTTGAACAAGTTTTCCTGACTACCCACTGTAATAAAAAAACAACGATTTTGAGACTTCATTTGCTTTGTATAATTGAAATCACTTCAGCTGCTATTATCTTAATTAATTCACAAAAATGATCACTCTAAAATAGATGATTTTTTTTCTTGCTTTTTTCTCTTTTTTTTCCTCAAATATGTTTCTTGGCCTTTGGGCAGTTTTTCACTGAAGACAGAGTGATAGTCCTTTTTCAGCTACTTTCCGTTGTTCTTAAGTTTTCATTTTTACATTTCCCAGATTTTCCTCCTTCTACCACAAGCTAAATATTATTTCATGGAGGTTCTGTAAAATGTTTTATTTCTGGGAGGTTCCACTGTCAAATATCCTGTCCTTAATTCTAATAAAGGGATAAAATCACCTCTGCATCACAGAGCACCAGCATTATCCAAAGAGTACGAGAGCAGGCTAAGGAGCCCTGAAATCTCAGCAACCACTCAGACCCTTACCAACATGGACCCTATAGGTCTTGCTGGAGTAGTGGGAAGTCACTATATGAGAATGCAGAAGACCTTGGTCTAGTCCATGTCCTGCTATATTTTATACCTTCCAGTCACCAACTGATAAACTGAGTTTTCTCATTTGTAAAATAAGAGAAATAATATGTTTTACTGCCTTCACAGTGTTGATGTGCAAATCAAATGAGGCTATCCTAACTTGAGAAATGGACAGCTGTGTAAATACAAAGTGGTAATATAATTGTGCATGACATAAGCAGTCATAAGCATTGATTTTTGAATCATATGTTGAAAACATCTCCCTATGTCTTGCTGTTGTCTCCTCTTCTAAGAAAGCCTTTGGGATAGGCTTAAAGGATTTCCACTCCAATTCGTACAAAATCAAAACCTGCAAGAAAGAATGAAAGAGTGGGCATACCAGATGTCACTCGGGCAGTAGCAGTGAGGAGGGTAGGCAGAATCCATGAACAAGTAGAGATGGCTGTTCCCAGGAAGAAAGAAAATGAAAGTAATCTTTCTCCCACTTGCCATTGCTTGATTCCCTACAAGTGCCAGTTTGACTGTCAAGGTGTACAACGGCAAATGAAAAGGGAGTCCTCTGCCTATGCCCTGCCATCTCTGGTTCATTGCTGAGCTTACTCACTTCTTGGCTTCACAAGTGGTGAAGGCAAATAAGTTATTTCCATCCTCAATTCATGTTGAAGGAAAGAAGTTCAGTAAGTGGTGTGATTAAAGGACAAGGAGAAAGCAAGAGAAGAAGAGAACATTTTACTACTTAGCAAGATACAGTAGGTCCCTTAAGCTTCTGTTGCACACTCACTTTGCCTAACATGTATATTTTTGAAGTCCGTAGAAGTTAACAGGCACCTTCTTGTCTAATTTTCTACCTTCTCAGTAAGGCATTCCAAGTAAAACTTCTTGAGCCCTTTAATTACAGTGATTTACTGGAGCAACATTGATAAAACTTGATAAGAAAAATCACTAGCAAAAGACTGGGATGATCTTCGATTCAAGGTGCTCTTGAAAAGCTAAAATGATTTATTGAAGTAAAAATTATGTAATAAGATGTTTCACACTTAGTAGGGCCCTGAAGCACAGAGAAGTGTCATAATAAGAAAAACTTTAAATTTTTAGTTGTCTACACCGTCTTTATTTTAAATGATGTTCAATTTCTCTTAAATTACTTGTGTACAGATCTGTTATAATTTATATAATTGAGTTATCTTATGAAAGTTAGAAAGTATGTCTTAGTAATATTGTGAGCATACAAAAGAGCATAATCAATGATTATTTTTCCAAGGAATGTCTATTAAATAGGATTGATTAGTGAAGTTCACATGTAGGTGCATGTAAGTATGTATGTAATATAATGAATATATTGTTTTTAGGACTGAAATCTAGTAAGATTTTCTTCCTATGATGAAAAGACCTCAATGCTCATATTCTAGTCTTTGAACTAAAATACATCTGAAATACTGACTTTTATTTGTAACTGTCAAGATGCACACCTTGCTGCCCACCCTTGTTCTTTGAGACTAGAAAAAAATTATGACTTGTTCCTACACTTGAACTTTAAGCAGGTCATGATGATATCTATTCCTCTGTAATTTGTCTTAAATCCCTGTCTGAATATGGAGTCCACCTAACGTGTAAAAGTGAAAAAGCTGAATGGTAGTTTTTTGGAGCAACAATCATTGTCATTTAAAGAGTGTGGAATGTTTAAATGCAGTTGAACTAGTCATTTAGACCTCAATTACAGTATGTGGCAATATATTATTTAAGTGGTATTTTAAAACATATGAGTCAGCAGCAGAGTGAGGGCTCAGCTCAGAGAACTTCACTGTCTCACAAAAAATGGCTGCTACATTATGATGTACAGCAATGTACAGAAGTATTTGCAGAATAAACTTTGTATGGAAATAGTCTGTTATTCACTCAGTGGCATTCATTATACATTAATGAATGATGCATGTAATATGCGCAGGGCTGTGCTAACATTTTACTAATACAAAACTACAGTAGTTCCATTTTTAAATAATATAGTAGAATAGATATTCAATTTAATCTGTCCTACAGTAGTATGTATAAAACTCCTAGAGGCTGGGGATTTAGCTCAGTGGTTCCACCACCTGTCTTGCAAGCACAAGGTCCCAAGTTCGATCCATGGTAGCAAAAAAAACCTTCTAGAAAAGTGTGAAATAAGAATTTTCTATTGCATGATTAATAATGTGGTAGGACATCAAGAGAATTTCTCTGAGGAAACTCAATGCTATGAGAAGCTCTATATGCCTTTTCCAAGGTGAACAACCAATTCTGGTCAGCCTCCATGTGTATTTTAAAGCCCAGATATAACAAGGCACAAAATTTTAGTCTAATGAGATGAGAGAAAACTTCTGCATAAAACAGAATTCATAAAGAACCATCTTCATTAATAGGGAAAAAAACCCTACATACAGTGAGACAGAAGAAATATTCAGCATTCCCAGCCTACATAAAAAGTAGGACAAGAGGATAAATAAGCAAATAAAAATCCTTTATGAACTACTAACAGCACATAGGAGATTTACACCTGTAATTCATATGACTTATATAGTTCAAGTTTTAATTTAGTTGAGCAGGTCCTTGTTGATTTACCACCAAAAATGTGGCAGAAGCAAATTTAAATTTTTGAAAATACAAGTTTTCCACCCTAGCCTGAAAGAACTCACACAGATTAAAACCAGAGCTGGTGATTTAGCTCAGCAGCATAGTGCCTGCCTGGCAAGCACGAGGTCCTGAGTTCAATCCCTGGTACCAAAAAAAAAAAAAGGATTAAAGCCTAAGCAAAGTCACCTCCTAAATGGAAAATTTATAAATTACAAAGGAAAATGACACTGTAAAAATAAGCTAGCAGCAAGCATAAGAATAATCAAATTTGATGTATATATTTTAGAATTATTAGGTATAAAGAAATGAATAAGAAATATTAGGTAATAAAGAAATAATAAAGAAATGAATAAAGATAATAAATAAAGATAAATGATAATAAAAGATAATAAATGAATAAAGAAATAATAAAGAAATGAATAAATAATAAAGAAATGAATATTAGGTATAAGGAAATGAACACTGAAAAAGTATATTAAGGAAAAAGACACTAATCCAATTAAGCAAATTTTTTAAAAAACAAAGAACTTCAAAAAATAAAACATAATAATTGAAATGAATAACAATAAATTGATTAAATAACAGATTAGTAATGGTAATAATAATAATAGGGTAAGTGAAATACAGAATTAATCAAGTTATTCAGAATGCAGCCAGAGAGACTTTTTAAATTAAAAAAAAGTACACGTTTGTAGTATATAATGTTCACATACATTGTGGGAATTCGTACATATATATGACATTTCTTAATTCTTTTTCAACCCCTCCTCTCCCTCTCCCTCCCTGCATCTCATGGGCCCCTTCTAATATATGTAGTATATGATGGTCACATTTCTTGTAGGAACTTGGTATATGTACACACAGAGAGAGCTTGAGACAATTTCAAGAGATTAACCCTAAGTAGCACCTTGTAAATAAATCCTTCATCGGGATTCTGAAAGGAGAAATTAAAAGGTATGATGGAAGCAGTTTCAGAGATACTAGTGAAGAAATCTGAGGAAACAGATATTAAGCTAAAGGTTCAGAAATTCCAAGGCAGTATTTTTTTAAATCCACGCATATGGCATCTTAATGAACCTACAGAATAGAAATCTCAAAGAGAAGATCTGAAAAATGTCCAGAGAGACAGATTTTCCAGATTGCTGACCTTTTATTGAGAGCAAGGGAAGCTAGATGGCAGGGGAATGGTATCTTTCAAGTGATGTTAGACTGTAATTCTTTCCCCACTGAAATTATTTTTCAAGAGCAATAAAATAAAGTCAATTTCTGAAGCTACCAAAAAGACTTTTGACTAACAAAACACTGATGAGTACGTTTACAGAATTTTCAATGCTCCCAAAAGGAGGTATAAAACAAAGAATATATTTGAAAATTTAAATAAACATTCAATGTAGTAACAATAATGGTAATTTAGAGGGTTAACTATTCCAAGGTTTAATTATAATCAGAAGGAGATCATAAAGGGGTATGAGAGATGTCTAATCAGAGTTAAGATATTCTAAGTCTCTATTGTGTGTGAAAAGAAAATAAAAGAGTTGGCGACCTCAGATTTTGTGTTGTTAGTTTTGCATGACCAAATACTTAGGATTAGTCCTATGTAATAAAGCTACAACAACCAAACTGGTACAGGGAAAAAGATTACAGAATGAACATGTTTGTATCAGTAAACACAGTTACCATACATGGACTCTAGTAAAAGACAAATAGCCTGGCTTCAAAAATCAGAAATCCCAGCATATTCTTTTTATAAGAGACATAACTGATATAAATGTAGAATGTTTGAAAATAGAGTAAAGTACAGTAATATATATGTAAGTTAAATGTTAACAGACACCTACTCTTAGTGCAAGAACCACAAAGTATTGTTACATATTCTTAAATAGTTTGTTTCACTAAGAAGATTAATAGGTCAATTCTAAACAGAACAAAGTTGGTAGAACTGAAAAGAACATTAAGAAATCCATAACTTATTAAATAAATTTGATATAGTATACATATAATAAATAATTTGAAAAAATAAACAATTGGAGAATACATAGTACGCGGTTTTTAAGTATATCATTTTTAAGCACATATAACATTTACGTATATCCACTAGTCATTATCATTGCCATTTTGTAAGTTTCACTAAATTCAAAGAATTGACTCATATACGTTATACTCTTTTATCATAACGTAATCAAATTATCAATTTATATCAAAACACTACCCATATACACTTGAAAATATCAAAACTTAACTAACCCATGGGCCAAAGAATAAAGTAGACCTGAATTTAAAAATAGAAGCCCTAGTGTTCCAGTATGCTTAACAATAATTAGTACTAGATACAATGAGAGTAAGAACAGTGGCCTCACTGAGGAAATTAGAAGTTTGAATAGAAATAACATATCATAAAGTAATATGCAGTAAAGCCTGACAAAGAATCATAGTTAATAATTGCTAGGCTCCAGAGGAGATTATTACTTGAGTTTGGGGCTTGTAGAAGAAATAGTTGTTCTTTTAACAATTGATCTTTTTTTTCTGATGGGTAAAGTGACAATACTAGAAGGGCAAAGTAATTACAAGTATAGCAAGATTAATACTTGTAGGGCAATGCAAAATTGGCCAAAATTACATTGATATTTTCCAAATTTGGAAACATATTTGCAACAAATTTGGCAGGAAAAACAGTAAGAAATTTGGGCAAAGATGATGAGAAGATTATTTATTCATAAGGCAAGAAATAGATATAATGAATAAATATTTTAAAAGATAGCCAATATTGAATATGGGTGAAGGAGGAAGGAGCCTACGATGACCTAACAGGTCAAATGGGCAAGGATAAAAATGAATGAAAAACTACTGCACAAAGATTTGTGTACAGGATTCATCCATATATTTTCTGCATTCTTCAGTGTCATTAACTTGACTTATAATCTCTCTCTCTTCCTCTCTCTGGCTGTGCACAAAAATCTAAAGTTTTATAATAGTTTTAATCATATCATTTTTATGTGGTTTGGTTACAACATATTCTGTACCCTTTGGTTCCGTAATTCTACTTCTAGGAATTTATCTCCAGGTGTAAAATTTTATATATACATATATGTATATAAAATAATTTTCAAGGTTGCTCTTAATATCCTTGTTAATACTAGTGAAAAATTGTGTAAAACTCCCAGGAATATTGTGTAGAAGACATGTGTGTGTGTGTGTGTATGTATATGTACAGATAGGTTTACACATGCATCATACTCATATAGGTACTACTTATGGATTATTTTAGTGACCATTAAAATATATATTCATGTTTGTATAAAAAGATATGCATGACATTACTAAGTGAACAGAGCAGCATATGGTGTCTCCTTTGTGTAAACTTGCATGTGTACCCATCGGTTGTAGGCAACAAGTTGTTCAGAGTTGCATGGATGGTAGTAATATCCTACAACAAGTGTGGCCCAAGGCAACTGTGCTGTAAAATAAAAAGCACTGAAATGAGGGCCTCAGAGTTAGTAGCAGTTTGTTAACTGTGTTGCTTTTGACAGATCTCTCTAAGTGAACTCATCTCTAAAACTGAAGGGGGGGCTGGGCCTTGAACTCCTTTAGCAAAGGCAAATACATCATACTGGTTGTTACCTCTCTCTTGTGCAGCCATGGCAGATGTTAGCCATCAGTCTTACTGTTTTCTTCCTCTGGACTTGTTCATACCGTAACATTCTTAACACACTGTTTAAGGCCACTACTAGATTGTTCTCTGTATTTGAAAATTTTTTTGGCATCCTTGGAAAAGATGGTCTTAGGAGTCCTTTCAGCCACAAGATTTTGCTGATCAAGGAACAAAGGTGTTGTTGAAAGAAATAAAAGAGAATGCTTTGGGGGAAAAAATCATTTTCTTGAAGCCACATTTTTAAAAAACAGAGATGAGGGGGCAGGGATTTAGCTCAGTAGTTCTGCCATCTGCCCCACAAGTGCAAGGACCTGAGTTCAATCCCTGGTACCAAAAAAACAAAAACAGATGGAAACAAACACATGAAATAAATCTTTATAATATATTTTACTAAGGTTCTTCAATGTATAATTAATATAAAAATTATTAATGAGATATTTATTTTATACAAAATCTTTTCAATTTAGTGTGTATAGCACATCCTGTTCTTGACAGAAATTTTTCATTAGAAAAGCTTGACTATATTTAAAATTGTAATTTAATAAGCATTCTCATATCCACATTGTTAACTTTTCTGATACTGAAATATTAGTTTTTTAATTAAGTTAAAGTTAAGTAAAATTAAAAGTTGAAATGAGGTCTCACTAGCCACATTTCAAGGACCCAATAGCTGTATATGACTGATGACTACTGTATTGGTCACCAGAAGTGTTGCAGATACAAAAAATGGGGCTGGGTTTTAGCTTTCAAGATTTTCTAGTTGAGAGAGCAAGATATCAAAAGCAAACATATAAATATTAAAATAATATAATCCGAAGCAGCATAATTATGTGCTAAGAATTTTCCATGGACAGCCTAAGTGCTACTTGGGTAGGAAGCTCTAGACACACCCGCAGCTGGATGCTTTCTTCACCACTTGACGTCTGGGTGGTGGAGGGATGTGTTGAGTTCCTGAGAATGGAGTGTCTTACTTTAGAAAGTGTGTGTGTTCTGCCTGCAGGCATGGAACCCGCTGTGCTGGAGAAGTGGCAGCCACTGCAAACAACTCTCACTGCACAGTCGGAATTGCTTTCAATGCCAAGATCGGAGGTATGGAAAACAAACTTATGTGAACAGAGTTAAGAGCCAGGCAGCTCTTTTGCTAACTGCTTTCTAGAATCCTTTTTAAACTAGATGGGCATATTGTTGCATAACAGTGTTCGACTATTACAGACAGCAAAACCACTAGGTTAACGTGTCATTCAGTATAGTTAAGGACTGCTGATGGAGTACCCCTAAAGTGTTACGAACACACTTTTTCTAATGGGCTTGAAGAAAAAAATGTTACTGTATTTAATAGTAAAAATCGAAGTCTTTGACGTCTGTACCAAAATGCTATAATTGGTACCTGGGTAAGAAGAAACTTGCATTAGAAACAACAGGCCATGACATCTCTAAGGAAAGAAGCATTTTGAAGTCCTCTCAAAGCAGAAAAGCTATTATGTATGTGATGCTTAGGCTTTTAGTAAAAGGTCCTTGTAATTGTAAGTGAAATTGTGATTGTAATTATAATTGAAATGGTCAATGGTAAAATCTCCTTTGTTAGTAACATAAGGTATAGTGGTCTCACAAGTGATTCCAGATTATATCTATTCATACACACATATGTATGAACTCAAATACACATATGTTTGTTTATTCTAAGATCCAGCCAAAGCAATATAAATCCAACTGTTGAGAAAAACAAACTTTAACTTTACCATTTGAAATCATTTTATAAGCAACAGCCAAGTGCCTCAATCAGATACAAATGGAAAGAAAACGTTCTATATAGCTCCTCTGCTCTAAGGGTCCGATAAAGAGTATCATAAGATGAAGGAAGCTTCTGGAACAAGGTTGGCCTCTTTGTTTCCAAAACACTATACAGCTAATAATAAAATAGAAAGACTATAAAAATATACTGTAATAAAAGTTATTTAAAACACGAATTGTTTCTTTCTGGATATTTTCAGTTAATTGACCTTGGATAACTGAATTTGCAGAAAGTGAGATCACAGATAAGAATGGTATAGCATGTAATAGCATTGCTAAGAAAAGGTTTTCTAAAATTACCTTGAATGTCAGTCCACAGTAAATGTAACCTCTTTCCTTTACCCTTAATTCCACCAATTTTGCTTTATGATAATTTGTTAACCAGAAATTAGCTGTACTCTGGAGCATCCGCCATGTCTTCCAAGGCATGGAGATGCTAAAATAGGAGACCATGGTTTTTCCCTGAGAGAGATGAGGGTGCTGAAGGCCCCTGCTCTCCCCAGAGAGTCACATCAGAGTTGCCAGCCAACCTGCCTCACAGGCCAGTACTCCTCTCTCACGAGCAGATTCACACCCCAGATTGTCACAGAACCAGGGCTCGCACCACTGACCTCTAAGGAATGAGGGGATGAACTTAGGAACTCACAGATAAAATGCTGCCCTAGCTTCACAGTACCTTTATTAAGAGAAGGAATTGTTGGTGATGATTTAAAATGTTCTAACCAAGACGATACTGAATTATAGATTTGACCTCTTAGGCCTAAGGCACGAAGGCTTAGAGTTAAATGAAGAAAAAGGAGCCTACTGAAAATCATGAGCATCTAATGATTTAGCAGGCATTTGATCATGCACTTTGCATTAAATGCATCATATAGCAACTGAATCAAGATATTGTGTTGATACACACATGTTGGCATTTGGTCATAACAGTAAGATTATAAGGGGTAGATCTCAGTGTACTGGTGAAATAGTTTCACTTTGTGCTTTTTAAGATGAACCAGTTCATTTATCCACTTAAAAACATGCAGATCCATTTTGAAAATTCATATTATATTGAAATAAACCAGTAGCTACTTAGCATCTAGCACAAGCAAGGTATTGTCCCAAGTTTTCCTTCCCAGAAAATAGATTCTCTCAGTACACATTGTGTTCCATAATTTTTAAAGGGCTTTATGTACAACTTTCATTCTCTATATCACCTGTTGACATACCTAAAATGTACCAATGATTAGAATGAATAATCGATAATGCGAAATAGGAAGAAAAGGTCCAAAGGGGTAGGGGTAGTGGGAGGGGCAGGGGAAAGGAAAGAAGGGAAAGGAAAAATGCTGAGAAATGGAAAAAATGGAAATTAAGTCTTTGTAAATAGGGAAGGGTGGAGGGCGTGAAGGGAGGGCTAGGGATGGGGAAAAAATAAGAACCAAGATGCATTATGTAAAGGTACAATTCCCAATGAGAAATGTAATTGTGTTGTATACCTACAATGTACCAATAAAAGAATTTAATTAAAAAAATCAGTAAACAAAATTTCACAATAATCAGCAGTATGTACAATTATTATATGTCAGTTAAAATATATATATATATAAAGAAAACTCAAAAGTTTGGAGGGAGAGATAGGAGACATGGCAACCACACACAGCATCTTTAGAGATAGGGTGTTTTGGGAAAACTCAATGTTAGCTGAATGTTGTAAGGGCTTATTTACTTTTTTTTTTGGTAAAACATATTAAAACCTGAAAAGTGATCTCTGTCATGGAATTTAAAAAGTTTTTAGAGGATGAAAATGAGGCAGAATTTAACAGTTATTGAAAATTTAATATAGATGCACTCATTGCTCATCCTATTCTTGTTTGTGAATTTTATAGTTGAGTTAAAGGTTTTTAAAAAGCCACAAAAAAAACCCCAAATTATGACTAAAGAGCGAAATGAATGATAGATAATAGGAAGTAAGGAGATAGATTTACAGTTCCATATAGTAAGACTGCCTGATTTGATGTCTTACTATTTAATTTCTGCTTATTGCTAACCAATAAAAACTTGAAATCTTACTGAGACAAGAAGATTCTAGTAAGAAGTAAGTTTGCCCTGGAAAGACACAGTATTTCAGTGATATTTAGCTTAAGCTGAGGAGAGGTATGTTTACCTGATAATTAAATATTTTGCTGTTGTGAGTCTCCAGAATAAAAGGGAAAATGGAAAGCCTGGCATTTGGCCTCTCTCCCTCCCTCTCTCTCTCTCTCTCTCTCTCTCTCCCCCTCCACCTCTCTCTCTCTCCCTCCCTCTCTCTCCCTCTCCCTCTCTCTCTCCCCCCCCTCCCCCCTTCCTTTCCCCATCTCCCTTTATCTCCTCCCCCCACTTCTCTTTCCTGTGGAACTAGGGGATTGAACACAGGGCATCTGCACTGAGCTACATCCTCAACCCCTTTTAAAAGTTTTCAGGCAAGTTCTTGCTAAATGCCTTTGCTGGGCTCAAACTTGTAATCTTCCTGCCTCAGCCTTGGAGAGTACTAGGATTTCAGGCATGTCCCACCACATGTGGCTCAGCATGTAATTCATTTCTAAGTGTCTTAGTGTCCACTTTAGAGTTAATAATTTCTATCTGTCTTGTAGGAATCTGTTTAAATGAAGATTAATGGCTAAACATTGCTGAAACCCTCTGGAATTTTTTGAAGTGTTAAATGCATTCCCATTTTATTATTTGACTTGTAAATAACTTCACAAAAAATAAACATATTAAGTTTACATCAATCTTCAGATTAGGGGATAATATTAAATGTAGAGGAAATGAGACCAACCTAACTTGGCAGCTTTCCCAAATTTACAAGACTGCTGAAGCTAGACTATTTTATACCAACTCCGAGCACGGGCTGTTCACTGGAATGACATTTAGGGAAGGGAGGTTGCTTGAGGATCTTTCTATCCAGTAGTAGTCGCTTAAGAGAGAAATGAGGAGAAGGGATGATTATGGCAATCACTGCAGGGATTAGAAGCTTGGAGAAAAAAATTGTATAAAAAAGATTTTAAAGAAGCTTTTCTCTTTTTACATGCAGTGTAACTTCTTTGCTGCCCAAGACACCTTCTGAAAAATGCACATTATCCTTTCACTGGGGAAAATATGCTTAGTTAAGTGTTGATTAAAAATACGTTTTTTCCCCCTGAAGTCCCATAGTGGGTCCTTGGATGTCAGGTAGTGACACTCCTGCACTGACTCACCCTCCTTTTTGTCTCGCAGGCGTGAGAATGCTGGATGGGGATGTCACAGACATGGTGGAGGCAAAGTCAGTCAGCTTCAACCCCCAGCACGTGCACATATACAGTGCCAGTTGGGGCCCGGATGATGACGGCAAGACTGTGGACGGACCGGCTCCCCTCACCCGGCAAGCTTTTGAAAATGGTGTTAGAATGGTAGGTTTTAAGAGCACCAAGCCTTATCTAAGGTGATGATTGTCAGATAAAGAATGTGCAGGCGTCCATCCCATCTTCCAGGGTGGAGGAACGTGTGGAGCTGGTGGGCTGAGCCAGCAGATACGCTGATGGAAAGTTACGTGAACATTTGGCACTGTGAGTTATCTCTGTTCTACCAATGAACTCGGAGCTGGAGGGTTTCCTCTGACAAGAACAGAGGTGTATTTCAATGCTTAGATTCACTGAAAGAAGCTGTGTTAAATTATGTGTTAATCTTGCGTTTGGAACAGCAAATTCTTGGGGCTGCGCAATTGAGTGAAGCTATGAACACTCTCCACTCGGTGCCCTTTCCTTTACCGGCCCTTCCCTAGTCTCCCCTCTATCCCAGTACAATATTATTTTTTTCTACTGGCTCCAGTCTCCCAAAGCAGGTAGGTGTCTAAACCCATCATCATTTTCCTCATTTTTACTAAGGTTCACTGATCACTCTCCTCCTCCCAAAAACTGACTGCATAATTTAATGTAATAAAATGTTGATTTCAAATTACAAATCTTTTTTTTTTTTTTTTTTTTGGGTACCGGGGATTGAACTCGGGTCCTTGCGCTTGCGCAGCAGGCAGCGAAACCACTGAGCTAAATCCCCGGCCCTCAAATTACAAATCTTAAATCCTCTCTGATTTAAAGTAAATAAAAGTAAGGTCACTAATACTTGTTATGAGGAAAGGACTACACCATAAGCAGTGTTTTTCCTTTTTTTACTCATGAGAGAATCTTCGGGTGACTTAGAGCATACATTTAAACTTCTTCACTGAAGGCCCTTGTTGATCTGGCCCAACTTTTCTTTCCTTCCTTATCTCTTCATCCTTTGCCATGTAAGCATGCTTTATCCTTACTATCTGTCAGCACACCCTGCTTTCCCCATGATTCCCTGCTCCATCTATACATACACCCACTATTGGCCAAATCCCATTTGACCTTCAAGCCACAGCTAAAAGGTCCCCTTTTCCCAGCCTAGATTATAATTAACTACAAACGACTTACTCTATGCTCTCCATTCTTTATATTCTTACTGTTGACACACACAGCTTTCATAACATTGTACTTTGTAGCAGAGTTAGTTCTGGGTGTAACTTTCTCCTTAAATTTTAAATTCCTCGAGAGTAGAACTTGTGTCCTACACATCTCTCTGGGCTTGGCCAAACCTACTGAAATTTTAGTAAGTACTCAGTAAATGTCTGCTGAATCCAATTTCATTTATTAGAAATGACGCTAACCACGGGGTTGTTTTGTATTCAGCTAAGATTTGGAACTGTAGAGTGCTGTGAGTTGATTAATGTAGCACTGCACCAGGAGCAAACATGATAATGAATTGCCCACATTTCTGTAGGATTGGGTTAGGGTTTAATAGAAGTCTAAACTAAGCTATTTCTTGGTTTTTCTGAAATAGACTGGAAGGAAAAATAATAGGCATTCCTCATTTAATGATTGGGTCATAGTCCTGCCACTAGGTCATTAAGTGAATTGGTCGCTAAGTGAGGAATTGTATATAGTACATACATTACAATATTCAGAACAAAGAAATGGTCAAAGAAAACTCCAACTTGATGACTTTGCTTCTATTTCCATAACTCTTACACGCTGTACTGTAATGTATAACAGAACATAAAACTATAGTACTGTGTTATACAGTACAATCAACAAAAATGAAAGTACTATATAAATAAAATGTACTGTACAAAAAAGACATTGATGCTCTATAATCAAGACGTACATAACTGCACAAAAAAAGATGTATGTAAGTCTGAAAAGTCATTAAACAGGTGTGTTGTTAAACAAGGAATATCTGTATATGCTTGTTTGGTAGTTACTTCCTAGGCAAATAATAGTTTAGGTTTAGTGAGGTCATTCATTTTGCTAGCTCCATCAATTTTCTGCTACATTAGAGCCCTTTAAATTGTAGAATAAAGTTTTAAGTGGCCTACAATTTTCCTTTCAAAGTGCCTTAAAACTAATAATCTGGTGATTTCATTATTAAAGCTACAGACTACAAATTACTGTTTTTGGTCCCTATGCCAGTAATAGACTGGTCATTCAAGTTAGTTAAGTAAACCAAGCCTAGTTCATATTTCATCTTCAAGTTGTGTGTATAGTGCTTAGAGCAATCTGAAATTTCTCATTAATGTAAAATATGTATGTTAATAATGCACATGGCCTTATGATTACACGTGTACATACAAAGGATGCCCCATATCCAATAGCTAGTTTTACTAACAGACTAACAGGACTGGCATTTAATCAGGCATCACAAACAAAAGGTTCCTTAATTTATTTTTGCTGGAGAATTTGTCATTTAATGGAAATCTTAACCAGAGTGTTAATGTGTAAAGTAAATTTGGTTGAAAGAAGAGTTCAAAAAAAGTTAAGGTTAGACACAAGATCATGTGAGAAAGACCATTAAAACACATAGGAAGACTGTATTTAGAAATAAATGATGAGGAAAAATTACTCTGTAGTCATTATTAATTACAAAATTAAGCTATGCTTACTGTGATAGAACATACACAAAGATGTATTGTAGCAGAGTTCTCCACCCAACTAGCTAGGCATTGCTAAAAGTGAAGACTATATCTTTCCACACTCTTCCAAATATTAGCATATCAACTGAGATCATATTATACCGCTACACATTGCTTTCTTAACTAATGATATCCCATGGGGATCATTCCAGGGATTTTGGAGTTTAGAGATACTGTAATTTAGAGGCTGAGGGTATATCTCAGTGGTAGAGCACATACTTAGTATGCATGAGGCCCTAAGTTTGATTCCTGGCATGAGAGGCAGGAAGGAGGAGGGAATCATTTATTTGACATTTCATAGAGAATCTTTCAAAGTTTTATTAATCTAAACAAAAATATTTGGTTTTAAAATGAAGCATTAGCTTTTACAGTTGGACTAGTAACTACAGAAATAACTCTTCAAAACAGCAATTTATTTTGTGGCTCTTAGCACTGCTCATCTAAACATGGGAAAGCAGTGGGGGCCCATTGAAGTGGAATAAGATCAACTGGTCACCATTTCATGTGTTCAGTTCACAGAGGCCTTCACATTAGGCTACAGTCAAGGGCAGTATCTGTCATTTGCTTTCTCTGACCTTCTGACCTTCTACAGCTCAAATTCCTCCTCTGCTTTCATTTTCTCATCTAAAGTGGGGCAATAATAGTACTCCTAGAGATGTTATGAATATTATATGTTATGAAATCCATAGAAAGGAATTAATGTAATACCTGAAATATAGTAAATGCTCAATAAAAGCACTATTTTCAGAAAAATTATCACATCTTTTCAAAAACCTGTGCATGTTTTCAGTTCCCTATCCTTCTGTCCTAGACCAGGTCCACCCTGTAGAGTTCTAGATGAATCCATTGAGTTATCTTTTGGAGTAAATTGGTGATAATGTGGTAGAAGCCCAGAGTCTGGACAGACTTTCTGAACTTTGTGATGTCTTTTACTTTTTTCCTTCCTCTGTCTATATATACCTTTGATTGCACTTTTCCTTGAAAAAGCATCTTCCACTTCACTGTGATAATCTCTGGTTACAGAATTTATTTGTCATCTGTGTTTGTGATCACAAATTTAATTTATATTTTCCCAAAAGATGTTTCTCTCAATATCTGTGAATATATAATTTATTATTGTTAAGCAGAATATTAGATAGTCTTTTCCAGGAATATAGAAGCTTTTGCTACTCTGTTATCAAGCATGAAGTGAAACAGTGCATTTTATATTCTTTGAGATCATTCTAATTTATTTCTGCACATAATACACATTGTCAAATATACAGAAAATAATTGAGTAAATATGCAAAGTTAGATTTTAGAGTAATAAAGAAAAAAATTAGTGGTGAGTTGGCTGAGTGATTTAAGGAATGGAAGAATAAATGGCTGAAAAAACAATTCCTTCTGTTATCTAACCAAAAACTCATGGGACAGCAGAAGTCACTCTGGTCTGTTGAGGTTTAACTATCGTCTGCAGAAATTCAGGAATTGGAGCTTATTTATTCCTCCTATCAAATTCAGTGAACTCCCAGTTTCTATTCACTCAGGGTGAAGAAGACATGAAGTTTTACATGCAGTTTATAAAAGACTCTTCATTCTGGAAACAAGTCAGAAAACAAACAAGCCGTGAAACAATCAGAATGATTTCAGCTCAGGATAAGTGTAATGAATGAAATAAAACTGGTGCTTGTGGGAAGACAGAGCTCCCTTAAAGGAGGACAGGGATCCTTTTTGAGGTGCTGATCATTGAACACAGACATGTGAGATGGTACTGAGCAATTCAGGTGAACTGGAGCAGGAATGTTCTATGCAGAAAGAACAAAAAGATCAAAGAATACTGTCTAGGGAAAGACTGGTGTACTCCCAGGACAGAGTGCTAACGTGCATGTGGGGAACAAAATGAATAGAAAGAGAGCAGGAAGAGATGGGTCAGAGGAGTGGGCAGTGGCCATCTCAGCAGGGGTTTCTAAACCATGAAGGGAGTGCATTTATTCTCTTACGGAATAAAATGGTTTTAAACACAGTAGTGCTTGACCTGCTGTACAGTTTTTAAATCACTGCTGTATAGATAGTGAACAGTATGTGGGGTGAGGGCTGCACAGGCAAAAGTAGAAGATTGAAGTGGGAGATAAGCCCGGGTGGCAGCTATGTCAAGACCACCAAGGAGATCAGGCAGCAGAGAGAGAAGTCCAGGTATCAAGAAAGATTTTCTTGAAGGAAAGAAATAGTTTCGCTCTGGGAGTCCATGTATTGATTGCGTCCATTCCTTTTGCTTGCTAATCAAAAAAATGTAGCAAATATTGAATTTCAAAATGCTCCCTATTTGTTTGCTGTAAGATAAACATTTGGCTCAATAGAATGTAACACCACTTTCTTAGACTTTAACAAAATCAGAATTGATTCAATTTATAGCCCCTTTAGGATTAATGTGCCAAAATTGCATTA